GTTTTGACAGGTAACTTAATAATTTGCTTTAGTGAAAGAAAACTGAGTAAATTTAAACTTGGTGGTAACATTTGTATAAAGAAGATGCATTTAAGTTACTTCACGTTCACATAAATGCTGCATATGAGTGTAACTTTAATTCACTGATTGGAATTGGTACATTACTTCTACTCGATGCAAATGTCTTTCACGCTTTAATTGTTTGAGAAAATAAACTTTAAGGCAATCGGTTTCTTCAAACAGTTTTGAACTAACTCATCAAGTGTTACAGTGTGCACAGAGCAGTTGTAGTCCTATTGAATCTAAACACTGTTTAAAATTACAGATCTATTGTGTGATCAATTTGTTTTCAGCCAGCCCAGCTTTGAGCAGTGACAAAGCTCTGACAGCATCAATGGCTGAATCTATAGAGACTTCATTTCTAGGTGTTTTTACTAGAAATTTCTCTCCTTATAACTTCCCTCTCCAGACTTTTGCAGATTGCAGGTTTGTCAGAGGCGATACCTTTAAACACTGTGTTCAGTTTTGCATAAAAAAAGAATAGCTTACCCCATGCTAAAACTGGCATGAGGTCTAAATGCATCTCAGGGATTGGTAGCATACTCTGATGCTGTAAAAATGTGAGGCGAGCAGGGAGACATTTTCTTGATTTAGATTGCCTATTGAGCAGCGCTTTGAATTATGCATTATCCCCGTTCATGCCATCCTGTACAACTACGCACAGCTCTGTCACTACCTTCACAACACAATGCAGTAGCTTCCTGTTGCTTAGAAAGCTTCTGCAGTAAAAACATGGTTGTGATCTCCATTGTGGATGCAGTAGTTACAAAAGACTGTTGTTCTACCACAGATTGTATTTGAATGTCGTCCGCAGCAATATCAGCGTCTTGTTTAGTGAGTGTGTGCAGGTTGTGGCCTGATGGAGGTGATGAAGAAAGGGTCAAAAGATCAAAATACGAGGGAACTTAAATTTCAGCAGCAAATATTAGAGGTGTGCTATGATTAGATGTGGAAAGAGCTTGTCAAGAACCAAAGAGATTGTCAGTAGGAAGGTTGTTCTATATGAAGAATCAAAGGGTCAACAAAATCATTAGGAATTTTATTTCGGAGGATACAAATCCCTATACTGAATTCAAAGGCATGTAGGCAGTTTAACACTAATTGTAGAGATATTATGCTCTGGTTGAAAGTGTTCTGAGGATACACTGACAGCCAACCAACAAAGGTGGCCACCCCTTCAGTAATAAGAAAAAGAGCAAACAACCTCAAGAGCAAAGATGTTCTTTTTTATATACTTTATTGCAAACATGCACCGGTTCAATTTCTGCACTTTCTGCAGTATTACAATATTATACTGTGGAAATTTTGCTTTTAAAGAAAGGAAACAAACATGTAGGACAGAAAAAAACATGCATATATAAATATACTGTACTTATTTAAATGCAAATAGTGGTAATGTAATGGAAATTAGCTTACTACTTATCAGGAACAATGTGAATATTATGTATGGCTCAAAACTGTTAAAGTATAAACTGTGTCAGTGACATATTTAGCAGGATTTAAGATTTTAACTACCTCTTCTTGCAGAGTTGTGACATTTTAGAGAGTGGCATCATCTGACAGTCTCATATATACTGTGGAGCTCCACAGATTGGGGTGTAATTTATTTTCCTGAGGAACACACAATAGAGCTGCAGTGTGAGACTGTTCTCGCAGCCCTCCTACTGTATAACACTCTCCCTGCAGCCTGCCCTGTCCGGGCACGCAGTGCTATATTTGACATGGTGCACAAGGAGGATATGAGCTAGTTATTGTTCTGTACCTACCTTTCTTAGTTAAAATATAATGTTAACAGCTGTCCAGTATTACCTGAAGTCCTCCTCCACCTCCCAAAGCACAGACTCATTTATTAGGTAACTTCCCGGTCAAGACAGATTGCCAAGCATGGAAACTCAATAAGGAAGTGGGAAGGGCAAAAAAAAAAAACTTGACTTCCTGATAATATATTAATGTTATCACCCCGCCTTAACTTCCACACTTTGAGACCATGATTCAGCTGTTCTCCCAGCCAGCTGTGTGAATGCTCTAAAGCTCATTACCCAGCCCAGTCATAGCAGCAGTCACTTCTCAACTTCTACCATAGGTTGAGGCCTAATCTGTACCCTATGTCACTAAACAGTGCCTGATTTTCTTATTTTATTTGCTGAAACACACAATGTGTATACATGAAATATATTCCCCACAGTAACGCTGCAGTCACATTATTGTCCTGTACGGATGGACAGATTGTTGGATTGCCAATAGAAACACTGCTGCACTGTTTGGAAATGGAGAAGTTTATTCTGGCATGTTTCAACGTGTATTTAGTTTGTTATCTTGCTCTTATACACATTTTACAGTTCATTATCACTCCGATCAATATTTATTTATCACCCGCATCAGAACCGTGAAATCCTGTTCTTTTCCAGGGCTGCATGTGGGGGAAGTTTGGTTGCACAGAAGGGTAGAGTGACCTTGACCATGACTGTGTGCACATTTTTTCATTCACTTGATACAGAACAACAGTGGCCTGTACATCCAGGTAACAATGAGACTACACGAGGCATTCACTAAGTGCTGTTATTCACTGTGACAGAGAGCGACCATCAGCAGGGAGTTTGCAGAGGAGAAGTCTATGTTAGATGGGTGTGTCAGAAAAACAAAGACTCTGTTAATGTTGTAGAATTCAGCAATCTCTCCACCGGCATCAGAAGCACCAGCTGACCAACGAACGTTCTTGCGGTTGCCACGTGGAATTACTGTACCCAGGATGACAAATATGTAGTTACATTTTGGATAAGGTGCATGATGGCTAGGTTGGGGCGATATGTCGCTGATATATTTGCATGTGTGTGTGTGTGCCCCCCCCCAGTAGTTTCACCTGGGTAATAAGCAGCTAGTACAATCTCTCTCTTAGCTCACAAACTCACAAAATGTCAGAAAGGACATGTATAAAATACTGATATTCCTCATTAAACAGAAAAATACATCAGCACACCTTCTGAATTCAAGCTTCTCTCTTTCACAAACTACCAAACCAGCTTAACCAAGTTAACTCATCTTAAAACAAACTTTATTCCAACTCCACAGAAACAAAATAAATCTCACCAAAACCATCTTGGTTAGTCTTTCAACTCTTGTGTCTAACCATTTAACCAGGTTGGAGGTGAAAATTTTCTGACTTTACATGCTGCCTCTTCCTCTCTGGTGCCCAAACTCACTTCTCTCCCACTTCACGCCTCTCCTGCCCCGGCCTGTCCCCGCCACGGGAGGCTGAGTCCTATTCGGTTTCACTGTAAAACACCTTGTTACTGCATTCCCTGTGCTCAAACTGGCCAAAACAATACCCTAAATTAGATGTGAACATATTCTGGCTCTACAGCTGTTTCCTCTCATGTGTTTTCCAGCTCAGTGTGTGTACTGTGCCGCTGAAAAAGAGTGTTGCTGAGCAAAGGCTCTCACTCGTCCTTTGGTGTCTGACCTTTAAATTAGCAAAACAAAATCTCCCCAAAAAAACACAACCAGCAACGGAATGGCTGATAGTCGATGTATTCGTCAACCCTAATGTTGGCTAAAGCATACAGTGTAGCAACAGTGGCTGCGTGGCCAAAAACATATATACTTCTTGGGTGGACTATCCTACCCTCTCTGCCTTCCCTTGGCCTGGTTGCTCCTGCTGTTGGGGGTGTTGGCCAGGGGCTCACCTCCACCTCCCATTATCACTTTCATGGTTATTATTATTTTCTTTTTCTTTTTTATTGTCTTAGAACAGTTATTTTTTCCTTCTGTTTCTTTCTTTTTCTCTCCTTTAATTTCCCTCTCACACATGTATTTACACGTGCTATTAACCTCAGCCACACAATTCAAGCACACCACCGTACAGTAGTTGACCTTGCATCCGATGAATTTGAACTTGTAGCCTCCCACACCTTCACTGTAATATTGTTGGATGGCAGAAACTGTTTTGCTGGTCTGTGTTAATGCCAATACTTTCTGACACCTCCACCATCGTTAATGTCTGTATTCTGTCTTTTCTTTTTTCATTCTATTGCACCAATTAAAAAAAAAAAAAGGATTTTTGGACAGCTCCAGCGCAAATAAAATCATGGTTAAATCTTTTCTTGTTCAAAAATGTTTTGAAATCCTCTATGAAGCTCCTTCAAGTACTGTACCATAGACACTGCTGTTCAGTGATAGGCAAAAATGGGCCGAGACTTCTAAAGGGAAACATGCAAATGTTGTTCTGCGTTCTTCTTCTTCCTCTTCTTCTTTAGATTTCAGATTAGCAAAGTAAAATCCAATATCTATGTTATCTTTCAACTGGATAAAACTGTCAACACAAAAAAGGCTGATTAAGACAAATAAAGAATCAGACACCAGTGAATCTGACTGACAGTGGTTGCCCCAGCTGTAAAGAATAGGAACAATTATGCTATGAGAAAGAAATAAGAGTGATTACGTTTGTTCATTTTCCTTGTCATCAAAGGGTCATTGATACTTTCTAAAGCCAGCAAGAAGCACCCTGCGTTAATGGCGCCTTAATGGAGTAACTGAGACTCGTGTTCTGTCATTTACAATAAAGAGCTCTAACCGCATGAAACCAACTGATTACACAGACACACAATCCCAACATCACTGGACAAATAAGTAAACAAATGAACAAATTAAAGCAGGTTGACCAAAGTAAATAAAGGCATTTTTCCAGACAACTGTTCAACATAAATCAGGCTCTGGATCCTATTACCACCTAAATAGCTGTTGAAGACACGTCTCACTTCAAATCATTCTTCTCCTTGCCCTGGTGGCGTGGCAGGCGGGTCAAATTGATATGTTTTGTCTGCTTGTGGTTTGGCTCTTCTAAACACTTAAAGCAGCATCAACCTGTCTAATTGGCTGTTTTACAAACAGGCCGGTGTCTAACTTTATATTCAGCTGTGTTGTCTTTCCCTGTTGTCCCACAGAGAGCAGTGTCCTGCAGAGTCCTGTCTTTACCAAGCAGCCCGGCAGCATCGTGTATCCTGTGGAGACTCTGGAGAGGAACAGGGAGGTGGTGTTTAGCTGTGAAGCCCAGGGAAGCCCACCCCCCATCTACCGGTGAGTGTGTGACTTTGATCCTCCCCATCGATGCTACTTGCTTTTATACAGCTGACGACGTCAACATCCTTCAATTTTAGACAACCCATCGCTGGCAAGTGTCTCAATCTTGTCTTAAACAATCCCTCTTTGCATTTTGGCAGCTCTGCCAATAGGAACATAATGTCTGATATTTGTTATGAGTTTGTTTTTTATAATTTCCACATAAAAATCCTTAAAAAGGCATCAACAGCATTTACCTCATTAAAAAATCCAGAATCTATGAATATGCAAATTGGGTTCATTTCTGCTGGACACAAGATGTCTCCTACTTCAAAGTCCATTCTCAGTGTATGTGCACTGGTGGCTTCAAGTTTCTACATCACACTGTACAAGTTGCACACTGGATCAAAGATGGATTTTTTTGCAGAAAAAAAAAACGTTGGGGGTTAGATTTAGCACACATATTACCCAACTCAATTACAGCTTCACATTCCCTGTTTACATCATCCAAAGCATAAGTGGAAAAGCATCTATGTTCAAAACTAATCCATCACAAATGGAAAGCCATAAAAAAATTGTCCCTTTTCGATTTGTTTTACATCAATAATTCTTTTTGACAGTATCAATATGTTTTATTTGTTTTTGTTTTTCTTTCTCTGGAACACTGACAGTCATCTATCTATGCATTTACAGATGTTTGTAGTATGTTGTATGATGTTTGTATGTTTGTTGTGTTGAAAACGTGTGGACATACAGGCAAAAACTACAATTAAAAATTATAAAAAGCTTTTTTTTCAGAAAAAAATAACAAAAATATCCAAAGATTCAATTTAAAAAAAAATAGATGGCTCTAATTGTTCTTAGTTGACAAGTTTAAGATGCTTTTGCCACTTTATCCCCATCTCTGGATTGAGGTTCATAAAACTGGTACTTTTTTATTTTATTAGAGCATAAACATAGAAATGTAAACTAGAATGGGTAAAGGGTTGTCACCACATGATTGTAAAGGGGTCACAGTCAATCTGTGTAATTCTTGATAGCATAGTAAGAATACAAAGTAATTCCAGAATGGATTTGCAGCTTTCTCGTGTGATTCAAACTCAGTCACAAACTGAAACGATGGGCCATACAACAGAGATTGTATTGTTCTTTTGATCCCAGACAGTTTAATCCACACACTCTACATGACACTTCTGTTCCAAAACTGGAAAGTTTCTAATCTGACAAAGCCGGAAGCTGCCCCACTGACAGTGAATTAGACTTTTTGTGAACTCAAAAAGTGTTTCTACTTTCAAATGTGCTTTACTTCTTTGTAGTCTTAAGCAGAGAAAGTGTCCTTATCCTGTAGTATCGCGCAGTATATTGTCCTTGTGTCCTCAGATTCAGTCTTCCATTCATCCTGAATGAAACCGCTCCAGGATTTGTCTCTTGATGCATCAACAAGAGAGTCTTGGCTCTGTTGTTTCTAGCTTTAGAAAAATACTTGTTCATCCTCGCAAATCAAGCCTGAGCTGATCAGGATCATAGGAATGTATTACATGAATTCTATTTTCTGGTGGATTTTCCCTTCAACCCCCTGCTGGAAACGTGTCTCGTCTATCTGTAGCCTAGGAATGCATGTTAAGCTTCCCACCCAGCTCAAACATCTTTTTTCCCAGTTCAAAGAGCAGCAGTTTTTTCCCTCTTTATTTCCTCCTCGCATGGACCATTAGTCTATTGAAAGGGTCTTGTGTTGTGTTGCAGAATCTCTGGCAAGTAAAAGTTTAAATCAATCATGTTTGCTCACTGAAATTGCTGGGGTGAGATTTGGAAGGATTGGTACATTTAATACTTGGGATTGAGCCAGCTTAGAGGATGACCTAATCAGCTGTTTCCTGTCAAGGTCGCTGCGTGGTCCTGTCGGAGCGGCTGCTGCTCTCTAAAGATGTGTTGCAACGGGCCGACAACAGCTAAATCATGTTCAAAGTTCATTAGTTGCACATCACACAGCGGTAAACTGTGACAGTTTGAGCTGCAGTGTTTACATTAAATGCCACAAGCAAACATATGGTCTGCACTAAACCTGAATGAAGTTTTCGAGGAGGAGAAAATGGGTAAAAATCCAATTCCAGCCGCACAAGTGAATGGTTAAGAATCTTATGATAAATATGGATTGGTTAGATGAGAAGATTGATATCACACTAATATCTGTTAAAAATAAGACTACAAATGAAAGTAACTCAGCAACAGTAGCTGACACACTGGAAGAATACACCTACAGTGTATTCTCAGTCTTCAAAACAAAAGTGCACAACAAAATGAAACATAAGGGGTCGAGGGATGGAGGGGATGAAAGGATGAAGGGATGAGGGGGTAAGAGTCGAGGGATGAGGGGAAGGGGTCGAGGGCTGAGGGATAAGGGGGTAAAGGAAGGACGGGTGAGGGTTGATAGGAAGGAAGGAAAACGGGTTGGGTAGGTGGATGGATGGAGGAGTTCGGCAAGACGGTTGGAGGGAACAGAGTCGGTGTTGAGACGCTCAGTGGAGGAGCAGTCTCTTTTTCTCTTCGACAGCCCCAATGGTTCCTGTATTTGGCTAAGAGAGAGAGAAATAAAAGGGGTTTGGGGGGAAGGATGTAGAAAATTAGTCAAGGAGGGAGTGAACGGATAAGGTGTGCTTAATCATGTTTTGAGCGGAAATGAGATGAGTTCAGGGCGTGGTCTTTGTTCCTGCAAACCTCTGTCTTTTCTTGTTGCTTTTTTCGTTTCATTTTGAAGTTTCTGTATGGAGGTGCAGCGTGTTTTGGAGGCTGGCCATCTATATGTCTAGCTCTTATTGGGTAACTGATTAAGATTCAGCCTTCTTGTAGCGTGTATAGGCGGTATTGTTTAACACATTCCGTAAATCACCCTGACAAAGGCCCTGCACTAAAACAAGTTGCTGAAATAAAGAAAAAAAATAAAGAATGTCTTTTTTTCTTTTTCACATTTGGTCCTTCTTAAGGATTATAGGCTGGTTCGGCAAGGACAATTTATTTATATTGGCCCGTTCAGACACAAGGCAATTCAAAGTGCTTTACAGGTGCATAGAAATACAATAAAGATAAGACATTAAGAAAACATTAAAATTGCATTGAAAGACAAAAACAGAAAGCAAAAGACAACCAAATAGATAGTTTAAACCGATTAAAAGGAAGTTTGTTTCTAATTTATTGGAGAGCTGCAGTAGTTATATGTTTTAAGCCCTGGTTTAAGTGAAGTGACAGTTTTAACAGACCTCAGTAAGCTAGTTCTGCAGGTGGGGAGCATAGAAACTTAAAACAGGTTCACCTTGCCTAGTGCGGATCCTGCTTGGTGTTGATCCTGGGAGCACTGAGTGAACCCATTCCAGATGACCTGAGAGGTCTGGATGCTTTGAAAAGTACAAGTAAATCAAAGATGAATTTAGGCCCGACACCATTTAATGCTTTATAGACAAGTAACAGGATTTAAAATCTATCCTTCAGACACAGGAAGCCAGTGCAGTGATTGAAGGACTGGTGTAATGTGCTCCACTTTCTTGGTGTTAGTGAGGCATTTTGGACGAGCTGCAGCTGTCTGATTGATTTATTACCAAGACCTGTGAAAACCATTAGAAAAAGCTGTTGAAAATAATCACATTAACAATTTTTTTGCATGTTTAAACAGAAATCCTTCTTGCTATATTTTTGAGGCAGTAGTAGGCTGATTTTGTGCTTGAAGTTACATGGCCGTTGAAAGTTAGATTCAAATCTATACTTTTCTGGCTTGATTTGTAGATTTTAGTGTCAAGGTGGGTACTGACTTTTTTTTATTTGGGGCCAAAAACAATTATTTATTCATTTCTGTTTACAGTTGTAGAAAATTCTGGCACACACACTCATTGATATGACTAGTGCTCTCCTTCAGCAAATGTAAGGGATTGTAGTCATATCGAGATAATGCTATGTAGAGTTGTGTGTTATCTGCATAAGTATATAGAAGATGTTATAATATTCCATAATCTTAACAACAGGGAGCATGTAGACAATGAATAGGAAAGGCCCAAGAACAGACCCTTGAGGTACTCCGCATGTGATTTTATGTAGCTAAGCTTAGCAGTGGGACTGACAACAGGGAAAGAGCTAGCCTGGCTCTGTCTAAAGATATCAAAATCTACCACCAGCACCTCGAAGGCTCACTAATTTATACGTTATGTCTCCTGAGTTTAAATAATACAAAAACAGAGCTGTACAAACAACAAAGGAAACCATTTTATGGCATATTACCATCCCATAAAATGGCGAATTGTGTTTTTTTATGGATTAACCAAAGAGTAAATAAGCACATTAGTACTTAAATGCTTTAACCACTAGGATCATAATCCTAAACTATAGAATGGTGACATACAGGTCAATATATCTCCCAACATTAGGTACTTGCAAACAGACAGCACACAAAAAATTAATAAATCACACATTTTATTTTGTTATTTAATGTGTATTACTTTTTTTTTATCAGCTGTGTTCTATCTGAAGCCTCTGTAACAAGTAAGTATGGGATCATTAAAGTCTATCTTAAATTATCTTATCTTATTTAACTCTTCTGATTTCCAAACCTATTTCTATGCCTCTACAGTATGTCTATAACTGCCATCCTGGGCCGCCAGATAGTTGCAGGCCATTGGGAAGAAGGGCCCCCAGTGCAAATAGCCTAGAGGTGCGCAGATACCCTCAGTGTTCTTTTAGTTTGACCCATTTACCAACTTCCTCCCACCAAACCTGCAACTGAAAGAGTTGTTTTATGAAGATCTTGAAAACCCTTGTTTCACATTTTCACTGCAATGTTGACTCCATGTTACAGCACATAAGTACTGAGTACTTACCAGCCCCAATACTGGACAGCAGCGGCGGAAGATGGGAAGGGCATAATGGTAAATGGTATTTCTGGAATTGGTTTTTCTGCCATACCCTACCCATGGATGAGAGCATATTTTTTCTTTTTTTTAATCAATAATAATTTTTTTAAATATTCTCTCCTCCAATAGCAGCAGCAGTTGTAGGGGATACTAGTTCAAATATATATACTTCTGTTTTATAATGCACTGTACATGGATACAGTCATACAGTAAGTATTCTATAATTTTATTTAGTCTAAAAAGATTTAGAGTCAAACTGAAAAAAATCAAACATTTTACTTTAACTATTCGAGGTGTGGCGATTAGTTAAAAAGTAGCTAGTATATTTTTAATACATTAAAGCATCAGGCTAAAGAAAAGGAACAGACTGTCTAACATTCACAGCCTCATAAGCCAGATGGTGTGGTATTATGCCACTGTGTACACGGCCTGTTGTTATATGATTACATAAAGCATGTGCCTAACAAATGGAACTGCTGTTGTGGCCTGCTTACCAACATAAATCATTCTAAATAGAATTATTAAATAATGTAGTTTATATGTGTTTGATGTAATCTGTTGCTCCATACTTCCCACGGAGGAGGATATGCTGTGACACAAAAACGGTGTTCAAAGTTCCCCTCATGCTGCTTTTTGTCACCGTTTCATCTGTAGTTAGAACGTGCTTGAGTTTCATAGAAATGATAGTATCCTTCACTTAGTGGCTTTAGAGTTCTTATCTAATTGGCTTAAAGGGACTAGAGCTGTCATAGGGATTTCAATTTGTAACAGAAGAGTATTGGTGGCTTTGGGTGGGCAATTATCTTTAATGACCACTATGTTTAATTACCACACACACACCAAATAGAACTTTTAGGGATTCACAATATCTTCCTCCAACTGGGTAAATTCCTTATCCTTTTTAACATGATGACTCCCTCAGATAAATCAAAACATTTTCGAGGCTCAATTAGCTATTCTGTCTAATGTTTTAAAAAGACACAGATAAAGCATCAAACCCACAACCGTTTTATGCAATATTTGGTTTTCAAGCTGTCACTCGATTGAACCGTTTCAATGTGGATACAATGCAGAGTCTCTCCAAGCAATTATGACTGTGAAAAGGCTGCTTTCATATTTGATGGGTTCCCCTTTCAGAAACAGAGGAAGCCGCTATCTGAGTCTGATACTGAGGTTTGGAGTGTCACTCTCCTCCCTCCCCTGTCCACACTGCTTTGTCACTATTTGAAGGTGTTACATGGCTGTAAAATATTTGTGTTGATTTTTGTTTGTTCCACTTCAGCTGCAAATGAATGGCTGTTATAGTCCTGTGAGACTGCAGCCACCACCAACCCCCAGGCTCCTCTCTATTGTGTGTGTAATAAGGCTCTGGAGAGCGTGCACTTACTTATGACTGAACTAGAGATGGGCCATGAAAGACTATTGTGCTACACATTTTGTCTATTAAAAGAAAAAAGTCTGTAGAGGCTCTTTGCTCTTTGTTACTGCTGCAATGCCCATCCTACAAATATTGTGCTTCTTGTGAGACACTTCAGTGCGGGTAGGCGGGTAAGCAACACAGTCTGACATTGTTTCTCATGTAATCAACTCCTACTTGTGTATTATATGATGATCCTGTACCGACTCCAGTGGCCACAGTGCCGAACATAGTTGATTTTCTGCAACAAAAAAACAAATGAATCTATTCTATAGGGTATATTATACTATAAAAGATGTAATATTGCAAGAAAATACCACAATGATAATGCAGCACCACTGTCAGTCTTTTCTCAAAAAGGTTCTTATGTCTCAAAGGCGCCACATTGGCACCACAAGGAGAGTTAAGGTAGAGAAAGAATAGAGAGAGAAAGACAGCTTTGCACAACTTCTGTCTACTGTACAAAAGGGCTTTAGCAAAGCCTATTTTTTTTCACATCAAAGCTGCTTTCTTTTCCAAATGAAACAATACGCTGTTTTCCCAGCTGAACCTGAAATCATTCCGAGAAAATTAAAAATCAAAGCAGAAGGAAATATAGAACTTCTCCTCAAAGAAATAATCAACCGCTAAATCACCCTGGGCCTTAATCAAATCTGCATTGTCCATTTTCCAATAAGGTATAAAATGCTCCTTTTGTGCTTGTTTATCTGTGCAGAATCATTTATTGCTTTGATGGTTATACATCAATCATAGCAATAACAGTGTCTTAGCTCTTTTTTTCCCAGGCTGAAGTAAGTTACGGCTTGAAACAATTTTTTCTGAAGTGACCCACCTGTGTTTCCTCTAATAGGGTGCATCTGTGTGGAGAGATTGGAGAATCTGTTGCCATTTTAAGTGAATTATACCCTTCGCTGATCACCTCTAACACCAATGATTATCATGTGGACTAGTCTAGAATGCATAAGTGTGAAGGCAAGGTTGCAGGCATTTGTTTTAATTGTGGCACCATAATGATTAAGCAGCATTTTTATGCAGTTTGACTGGGGTCTGGCAAGATGGATGGCCTGCAATGCTATCTATTCTCAGGAAGTCAAGTCCTTGGCACCACAGTGGTTCACTGCTGCTTAGATTAACACGAAGCTGGAGGGCATGATTTCTGGGCTCTCTCCACCTTTTATTTCTTTCCTGTAAAAAAAAAAACAATCAAATGTACAAGTCACGTTCTTATGCTTGTAGTCTGGAATGCATCCATCTTCCCAGTCTACCCTGAACAATGTTTAATTTTTTAATTTACATGTTAATTTTTTCCATTTAATTTCTAGGTGGAAACTGAATGGCACAGAAATCAGTCCCAAATCTGGATCTCACTACAGCCTTTCTGGAGGCAACCTCAGAATCAGCCATCTGAACAAAGACCAAGATGCTGGAACGTATCAGTGCCTCGCCTCCAACTCTTTCGGGACCATCGTCAGCCGAGAGGCCAGTCTAACCTTTGCGTGTAAGTCTCTTTTTTTCCTCTCTCTCTATGGAAACATCTCTCTGGGGAACTATTAACTGCCTGTTTGTGCTGACTAGAGTTTACTCTAAGTCATCACTGCAGACCTACACACCAACATACAAGAAAGTCCAAGTGAAGTGAAACCCAAAGCAGGGCTTTTTTATGATAAATAATAGAACTGCCTGCTAACTAGTGCTGCTCTCTGCTATTAAAGAACCAGTAGTAGAAGTATATTTCACTTAAAGCTGGTATAATCTGTATTTGTCTAACAACAATGTACCAAATGTGAAAACAATATGACAATGTGAAAGAGGTCGCTCATAGTGATGAACCTACAGAGAATTATCAGCTGAATCTACAGCTCCCCTGAGCTTTATGTAGCTTTACAGTGAGTTACAACTTAACTGTTAACTGTTAACGTTAACGGTTCACTCTCAGCACTCTCATAGTGGAAAGCTCTAAAAACTCACTGTACACTCTACCTGCTCACCATTAAATAGCAGAAAAACAAATTGCACAATTTAAAATGTAAAAAAAAACAATTTCTTTTACCCTTTCCCTTTCTTAAAGAAGCATGGCACGACTATGTGTAAAGTAATAATGTTACTTGTGGTAAAAATCACTACACTCTGTGGACCGTTTTAGTGTCTTTCAGCTTATTGTTTTGGCCCGTAACTCTGCTCTCCTCAACTTTAGAGAGGGTGAATATTCATGTGACACAAATGTACTAATATCTGCAGGAATTAGTAAAGGGGCAACTGCTTGCTGAAACATTCACCATATCAACTTTACATGGTAATAACATGCCAGTGATGTGTTTTCAGCTTGCTTTGCTGCCCCAAAGAAGCCAAAAACACAATTTAAAAATATGTATTATATATATATATATATATATATATATATATATATATATATATAGCTACATATACATATTACAAAAGCCTATTTGAATGTGCTACATCATTATTTAGCATCACATTTGTGGCTGTTTAAAATGTTCTATATGGTTGGGTATCCACTTTAGAGCATGTGGGTAACATGTTACCAAAAATGTGTCATAAACTAAGTACAACAGAGGCAAAAGTTCTATATCTCCACTGAAATGTAGTGGAGACACAGAAGTATCTCAAAATTGTACCTTCCAGCAATGCACCTTAGTGTGTATTAATCAAATTTATAAATCAACTAACACATTTGGTCACGGTTTCTTACTGATATTTAACATTTTAAATGTATGGTCAACCATTGCAAAAAACAAAGAGTAACACCAAACTAAAAAACAGAGCATTCCAAGAAGCGTAGTCAGCACAATCCATTTTGCAGATTAATTTTTTTTACCGATTCTTGACCATCATGATGATAGATTGTTTGACACATCTTGATGAGTCTAACTGACAGCCTCTGGACTTCATATTCCTAAAGCAGCAACAGGAAGTCAATAATTGCCTACTGTATGTGCCAGTTATTGGACAGGCATAAATGATGACATTAACAGCAAGTGAGTGATTGCTTGCTCAGATTAGATTCTGAGGTTTAGCGTTTGGGGACAAGGCCACCAATATGTCTCAGGCCATTTGTTTGGACCAGTGAGAAGTCAATCTACGATCTGATTCTGCTGGTGGATTTCCACTATGATAGGATGACAGTTCCATCAATTGTTGGGCTCTGACCTTACCAGCCTTCAGTTGTTGTCACAGAGTCAGGGCGTGCATGTATGACCGAGTGTCATCTATCTTCTTTATTACTCTTGGTATAGCTTAATTAACTCCACAGCATGATTGAATGGTGAAGGTTCAAGTGAATAATTTAAAGGGCAACTGGTATTACTGGAGAGTGTCATGTAATTCTTTATAGAAATTTAGGCGAAGTAAAATACACGAGTTTTTCTCCTGCAGGGAGGCAGGCAGAGACATTCTGCTCCTGTGACACAGACCACCAGTCAAATGCACACCATGCGCACCTTAGGTGCAAGTGGTGTTTCAGCACCTATCCTATTTCCCTCCAGTAAAGATCGTGACCTTTGATGGTAATTAGTTTTATGCGTAATTTGACTGTGATTTTAACACAAGACAGACTTTGAGCCTCCTCACACCTCTAATAAGCCCAGTGGTGATTACACCTGTCAGAGCCAAATGGGAGTAATCATTTTGAGCTATAAAAATGCATATCCACCACACCGGAAAGGTCAAAAGTCAAGATATATAAAGATTGTCAAATCTTTGATCCAATTTTTCACTCCTTTGAGAAAAAGACTTAAAATTAAATTAGGTTCAGTTATTTCCCAAAAGAGCTGGGCACTGTAAAAAATAGGAGCAACATAGTGCATTTGTTGGGGACTATTTTCAGATGTGGAGTAACACACATTTGGTGCTCTAATGGATACAGTAGTAAGACTAAAGTGCCCATATTCACTGTTATGAAGAAAAAAGTCACCCAGTGCAATGGTGTGGCTCACTGATGGTTTAGTTAGTTAGGGTTGTTAATTTAAGTTAGTATCAGTTAGTAGGATTATTACTTCTTGTAATTGATGTGTTTCCTGTTGAGACAGGATGGGGCAAAATGCAGGGAGGAAGCATCTCAGAGTGTATATCACTTAGAGGAATTAGAGCATTTAACTTGTATTCCACTTTGTTGGGAGGAACTTTGATTAACATTTAATTCTAAAAGTAATTTAGGTTTTTAATATAAAAACGCACATGTTTAAAATTAAAATGTTAAAGTATTGTTGAAGGATAAGTTTGGTGATATTGCATGTTTTTCCTATTGTGAACAAATCCCATTCAAACACCTAAACCAACAATGAAATAATCCTACTAACTGATACTAACTTAAATTAACAACCCTAACTAACTAAACCATCAGTGAGCCACACCATTGCACTGGGTGACATTTTTCTTCATAACAGTGAATATGGGCACTTTAGTCTATTTTGAGTCAGTCTTACTACTGTAAATATCCATTAGAGCACCAAATGTGTGTTACTGTAATATTAGCAATGCTGCCAGCAAATAGAAGTTTAGACTAGAAAAATTATTTCAGTAAGAATCACATTACTAGCCTCAGTTACTAAGCAATGTGAAGTTTGAAGCGATAGATCAAGCACAAAATGTAAATTGACTGTATGCCTAGAATCCGAATCCTTTTGCACAATTCAATTACAGCTTAAATTCCACACGTAGAGCAGATATTAACTGTATGTGCAGTTTCTTCCTTTCTATAATAGCTTTAGAGAGAAAGGAAAGGACACCTATGTCGTTAAATAAATCCATTGTGAACTGTCCTGGCTGAAAGGGGAATCAGTCCTTAATAAGGGAGGCACGTAGTTTCTTTTCTCCTGTCACCTCGTGGGAACACCTTACCTGACCACATGGTTAATGTTTCATCTGAAATGACCAAGACAAGCAAGACAGAAACAGATTTGTAGCCCGACCCAGGATTACATTTGATGCTGCTAACTGTGCAGCACCTATACCTTTTGGCAGTCTGTGTTTGTGTTTCTGTGCAAATCCATAAATTAAATGCCCCATGACAAACAAAATAAAACAGATACAGAGAAAGAGGGCCATTTGTATTATAAATGATAGTCAGTGCTGTGAGATACAGTAGATGCCGCACAGATCCAATATATTGTGAACTATACAGATTAGATTCACCAATATATTACAGCTTGAATGAGGACTTTATAGTATAAAGTAAGGTTACTTATTTTGACCAATGTGTTTTTAACAGGAGGTTAAGAAAAATCTCAACCGTGCCCACACAAGTAAAAACACAAAAACTTGCTTTAAAAGGTTTTTTTGTGTCACAGCACAGTGACAGAGGATGAAATGTCGTTGTTCTCGTATCAGCAGTGACACTGCCGGCTATTCTTTTCCCGCACGCTCAAGTATGAGTCAGTCTGAGCTATCTTGACATGACTGGCAGGCAGTATCAGAAATCAAATATAGACTAGCTGAGTTCCTCTTCCAGAGCTGGCATGAGACCAACTCACTCTGCAGCAATGACACACAGCGCACTTCTTTATGTGGCAGTCTGGTTTTGAGGGGCCAGGACCCCACATGGGGTCATATGTGGGCAGGACTGTGGGAGATCTGTACGTCTGGACTACAGAATAATGATTTGCTGTATTTTTCATTCAGCTAACACTGAAATATATATGATACTTTATACATGAAATATAAGCCTTTCCTTCATGGTATTGAATTGAATACAAATGATATCACTGTCGTGTGTCAAACCCTGGTAGTGTAGCATTATGAGAGCAAATTGGAAGCAGCTAAAGGTGGGCAAGTTTACATTTGAGGTAGTCTGGTAGCATAATAAAAGGTACATCCCTCACTTACTCAAACACAAACTCATTTAGATTAAATCAATTTTGCTTCCTTCAAGGTACAGTAATCATAATGAATCGCTCATAATGAAACACCCACAGTGTTATGATCTCTGTGGGTTGAGCTACTGAGCTTTTTAGCATCTTTTAGCTCATTGTTTTGGTATATTGTCAGGAGTGAGACATCAAGAATAGAAGGTGAGTTAATAACAGATTCACATTAATTAGGTGGCCAGAAACACGACTCCAACTGAGGCTCCCTGACAGCTCATTGTGTAAATAGGCAACTGTATGCTAACACATTAGCCCTGTCAGTATAGGGTCATAATATGTAAAATGTGTATGTAATATTCAGCTCAAAACAAAACACACACACACATAAAAAATGAATGTATCATTAACTCTGCACAGTGATTACATTTCACTGTATCACTAATGTTTTTTTTAACACTTATGAGCACTCGCTACACACATATTTTGACAAAAATAATGTTCACTCTTTCAGAGGATAGAGTTTACTCGGTATCCAGTACAGTACTATGTGTATAATGTACATTACAGCATGCACAAGAAAAACATGTTGTTCATTTTTTGCCATCCCTATCAACACAACGTACCTTAACTTCTTCTCTTGTCAGCTATGTCTCGTTCTGTGGTTTGTAGCTGTCAC